TCGGTCGCCGTGTGTCTGGGCAGCGCCCGGCCCGACTGGGCCCCGATCTCGGTTGTCTAGATGCTGCTGTAATGTAAATAAGTCTGTGGCAGACCCAGGAATTGACACAGGTGTCCTGGGTCTCAGTCCTTGTCTAGAGTGGACCATGTAGCCACAAGCCCACTGTTATTTGTGGGTCCACTGAGGTAATGCAGGCCGGGCTGGATCCCTGGCTAGCGGCTCTGCTGAGCTCCATGTTGTTGGCTGTCCCAGTACGGCAGAAATGGCCTGAGACCCCCACACAGACGGGGGCTGGAGGAGGAGTTTTGGGTGCCCAGCTCCTGCTGCCCCTGGTAGCTTTGGCAGCCTTCATCCAGAGCCCTCAAAGCTGGATCAGACCGTTGTCCCCATGGAGAGGTTAAGTGACTCGCCCATGAGCACAGATGGAGTCGTTGGCAGAGCATGGAAGAACCCAGGAGTCCTGATCTCCGTGTCCCCTGCTTGTGCTGTCCCAGGTAGAGAGCTAAGCTGGGGAAGGTCACCTCCGTGGACATGCGTTTGGCTAGTTGGGTGATTCTTCTCCAGATGATCAGACTTGTTTTCAAAGGCATCAGCGTTGTTTAATTCCAACTTCCAGGAGCCAACGCGGCTCCCGCAGCGGCTCCATCTGGGTTTGTCTTTGGATTCCTCCTCTCGCGCTTGGCCCTCCCGACAGACGTCAGGGGGAGCACCGCCCGCCGGCTCTCCCTCTGGCTGGGCACACGGGGCCAGCGCAGTCGTACCCCTGGTAGCCTCTCCGTTCTCCTGGCTTTGGGGGCTCCGGCTCTCTGCCCTGCCTCTGCGCCCCAGGCTGCTGCTCCTGCCAAACATCCTCCCAGCGCATCTGGCTCCAGCCAGCCAATAACTGCTCCTGGCAGCAGATTTTCCTTCCACGTTAAGAGCTGACGCAGGCGACCCCATGCCAGCTCCTGCCGTTCCCGGAGAGCAGCTGCATGCTAATGCTATTAAAAGCCTGCCGGCTGCTGTCCTTCTGCGTGGAAATACCTCCGGATCGCGGGGGAATCGCGGGGAAATGCTGCCTGCTGCCCCAAACGGGAAAGTACTGGGCAAGCCATCAGCTTGGGGGAGAGTGCGGGGCGGAGCTGCTGCCTGCCCTCCAAGTGGGACCCCTTGGCTGGCTGGGTACCGGGTGGGAAGCTGGGCAGTGCATCTTAACCTTGTACGTACTCTGAGATCCTGTGCATGAGCCCCTCTTTGGAGTCGGCAGTGTCTGACACGGGAGATGAGATTGTAGCTATTCCAGTGATACCTAGAGACCCTGACTGAGATGGGGGTGGGGCGCCTGCTGTGCCAGGTGCTGCAGAG